TGACCTCGTAAGCTGCTTTATGATCTAGAAAATCCTCTACCGTCGATCGGGGTTATTTGTTGCTATAGAGGTCTGGAGAGCTGCATTGGTTTGAGTTAGGTTTGCTTGGGGACAAGAAAATGGTTAAGTGTGGGGGAATTTGATAGACCAATAATTACACATGTTTTTACCCCTATTCTTGAGTCGTTTGAGATGTCGATTCCCGCGTTTTAGGCCGATTTCACGCTAGGTTGTTCTTGTTTATGATATTTCAGGTCCTAGTACATGAATGAAGGCTTGGGAACGAGTTCGGGGTCGATTGGACGAGGATTGGATATTTCGCGGGAAACTGATGGAGCCACACAGGCACGCCTACAACCAACATGGCCGTGTAACCTGGCCGTGTGACATCAATGGCACGGGAAAAAATCACACGGGCCGTGTAAGGGTACCCAGGTGGCCGTGTGAAGGCTCGGCAATTCTCACACGGGCAGCCTGGGAACTCACACGGCCGTGTGGTTGTGGCCGTGTAGGATGGTTGAAGTCCACTTATCGAAACGACGCGTTTTGCACAACTCACACGGGCAGTTGGGGAAGTCACACGGCCGTGTGATCGGGATTTTCTGCTTTTAACCCAATTTCCAGCCACGGGTTACGAGTTTTAGAGAGAAAAAATGCCACCTAGAGAGAGAAAGTGACGAACCTGAGTCTTCGAGTGTCCTTGATCGATCTCATCACCATTGGAGCCCGGCTTGAGCTTGGAGAAGATCCGATTGAGTGCCAGAAGCAGATCATCATCCTTCACAGTATGATTTCTGCATCTGAGCTAGATTTCCCATCTCTCTCTATGGAGTAACTTTCTTATTCACCTGGGTATGAAGAACCCTAGATTTGTATGTTAGGTCTGATTGTATGAACCCAAGTACATATTCTATGATTTGATTATGTTCAATTGAGGTTTGAATTGTTGAATGGCATGAATCCTGATCAAATTCTTGTTGTTTCTGCTTTAACCTAGAATGAGAATATCTGCCTAGATTTACAGAGCATCCTTGATTGAAGGTAGTGAATTGACGACTTTAATCGAGGAGTCAAATCACTATTCTGTACCGGATTTACTCCGGTAGTTAAGGTTTGGTTCGTTAGGGCCTCAATCTGTTTACTCCGGTGGAGGTTAGTCGCCCGCTGGGGACTCAGATTGAGAGGGTCTGGAGACCTTTAGTCGAGACTTCTAACTGTTTATGAACCTCCCGCAGTATAACTATCATTGAAATTGAACTTGGTAAATTGCAATCCGGCTTAGACTGAACTTTTTTATTAACCCAGACCGATTTTCGAGCATTCCAAAAATTTGAGTAATCATCCTCTTCAATATAAATCTTGCGGCTAGCTTCCTTGTAGACATATGGGGGCCAAAGCACTCCATACCAATCGGGGAGTCAAAAACACAGTCTCCTTTTGAATGGCCCACCCGTCCACAATGGTAGCAGAACGTGGGTAAGAATTCATACTTCAGCCTTACCCAAAAGCGCCCAAGCTCATCACTAGCCGCCATGATTTGGGAACGTAGAGGCTTAGTAAGGTCGATGAGCATGCCAACTTTCGTCCAAATTTTTTCGTGCAGCAATCATCCTTGACATTCCAAAGCTGACCACGAAATGGAACAACAGCCATTTCCTCCAGGAGATGCTTGGAAACCGCGGGCATCCAGGATCGGAGATGGAAGATCTCGTCTTTGACAACCCAAGGGGTACGCTTGAGCACCCATATCCTGGTTTCATCACTTGGTAACACCACCTCAAAAGGGCCGAGCTTTGTCAGGGTCACCCTGAGGTGCCCCTTGATCCGCCAGGTATCAAGTAAGCCCTCCTTCAGCTCCTCGGCAGTGAACTTGACATTGGTGAAAAGCCTACCTACTAGGGTACGAGAGGTTCGGAACTTCACTGACTGGACCTCCTCAAGAGAAAACTGAACCACCTGATCCTCCGCAACATGGGACATCGTAGCCACCTGAAAAGATGAGGGGGATAACGTGTTATGGTGTGCACGTTGTACGTCCCTGGTCAGTTCCCCTTTAGGGGTCGATGAAAGCCAACTGCGGGAAGGAATAGGTTGATGCACAAGAGGAGGAATAGCTACCGAAATAGAGCCAGAAAGCGAGGGAGGGGGACTAATCCCCATACCCGAGGAAAGCATGAGTGCGCAATGTTGTTTATGGGAATCCGCTGCTCTTTCCTGAACTACAATCACGTTCTGCCGAGCACATATAGTAAGTGTGATTGGGAGATGGGCAGTGGTTATATAGGCGAGAGGAACAGTAAATTCCAAGTATCGCCGAATGAGTTTCCTACGAATTCCCAATCGTAGAGTTCGATTATGAGTAGGTGTCAACCGTTGGGATTTCAAACACTGCTTTTTGGATCCGATAGGGTGCCAGAAAATCGCGCACAACCAATTCAGAAAATCAGGAGAGAATCCCTCTCCATCAACCCCTCTGCATCCCCTCCCTAACTGACTGGGGCAGACATCGGTGGCCATAGGTCTGGCGACCAGTTCCCCGCCGTCCAGAGTAGGATTACAGGAAAGGCACTGAGCAGCCACTAGATCACGATCCGGTGGCCGAGTCTGTTTCTCATCCCTTAAGGGTAAAATTTGTTTGGACCAATCTTGATTTGTGGCCTTCTCAAACTTGGATTGATTCTTGTGGATGTCTAATCCATCACTATCAGCCCCCGCTACATCTGCTTCCCCACTATCTGGGGAGGACGTTGACGACAAAAGGTCTGTTAACCAACTTCTCACCGTCGAAACTAGGGTAACAATAAATACTTTGAACCACCACCATTTCACGATCCAGTGGCCAATCATGCTTTTCATCCCCGAAGGGTAAATCTGGTTCAGGACAATCAGGAGTTTCCGCATCTCCAAAACTGGACTGATCAATATGGACGTCGCCCCCAGAGCTCGATTCTAAGGCCGGCTCATCAGCCTCCAGAGCTAACGAGTGTGGAAGCCAAAACCTCCATGATTTTTATTGGCGTATACCTTCTCACCCTTTTTGGTGGACGCATATCCTCGATTTCAAGCTCTGCAAAAGCTCGTAGATGGGTTATCTTTCTCCGTCGGATCAACCTTCCTCGACACCGGACCATATCCTAGAGAGATCGTACCGGATTGTGTTCTGACGTCGCCTGGCTACCCACATTCCCAACTACAAAAAGTCAACCTATAACACTTTTATAAAAAAAAATTTACTGTGGCAAAAAATTATGAGTTGTATAGTTAATTGAGGTACATAAAATTTAGTTATCGCGATCCGGATCGAGATGTCAACTTTGTGGCTTAGCGGCCGACTGGCGAGTGGCGATTGCTATTTAGCAAGGTAAAGGAAACCGTGTCGTGTAGGGCGGTACAATCGCAAAAGCCGAAAACCGGAGCTGTGACGGTACGGTACAACCAAAACAGGGAAAAACCCATACCGGCCAATATTTTATCTTTGACTGTCTACCGCAATAAACCGGACGGTTGTAGTTGGACCGCCGGTACTGAAAAATCAATATTAAAAAAAAGACACAAAATCTCACGCTCTCCGCTCTCAACTCCAAATTAGTGATTATCCTTCACCGGCGTGCTTTTTCTCTTCATAAGCATCGTTTCCTTTATAATCGTCGTTGCTGTCTTCTCATCGGCGTCGAGTTTATCGGAATTTTTCTTGGAAATCTAACTTTCACAGATCGAGATTGGGAAACTTGAAAAAACAGAGCCGAGTATTTGGGAAGTAGATCAAGATGAGGAAAGTATGTAGCGCCGATACAAACGCAGTCGGAGGAAGAAATAAAAAATAAAAGGTAACAAAGGAACAAAACCTAGCGTAAAATAGTCCAAGAAATCAAAAACTCTAGCCAAAATGATCAAGAAACGAGGGTGCAGACATGTGCAAATACGACGTTATCACACATGATTTGGGAACGGATTGTTTGGGATGTGAGAGAGAAGATAGAGAGGGGATCAGGGGAGACTATAAGAGTGAGGGCGTGAGAGAGATGGAGATTTAAGTTTTTACCCTTTTTGTACTTTGTATATTTTAATTAATATAATAATATGAGATAATAATTAATGTTTAACATATATTTTAAGTAATGATCATGGTTATCACGCCGGCCGGCGTGCCACCGGTTGTACCGGGTTCAACCGGTACCGGTCATAAAACCGGCGTGACACCACCGGTATGACCGGCATGATCGATATACGAATCTCTAAGTAAAATGACTTTATTTTAGAGAATTTAATTGATAAAAATTATTTTATTATTTATTTTATGAGTATAAAGTTATATATTGATGTTATTTGTTGGATTCAAATATAAATGCTTAGGTATTGACGTTAAATGTCATGTTTAAATATGAGTATTTATAATTTTATTTGTAATATTGACCGGCATGAACCGGCACAAACCGGTATGTGCCACCGGTTAAACCATTCCACTTGCTAAACCGGCACACTAGCATAAACCGGTTTGACAACCTTGGTAATGATACACTTACTTTAACGAATGAAGTCATTTTTTAGAAGTGATAGATTTAGAAGAAATTTGTGTAATTTTAAGAAATGAACAGAGAAGTGATGGATTTAGAAGGAATTTGTGTATGCAAGAGAATTTGTAAGCGAATAGATGGATTTAGAAGGGATTTGTGTAATTTTAGAAGTGAATGATCATGAAAGTATCAACATTTTCATATGTGATTGATTAGGATATTTAGGTTTGTTTTTCGGTATATTTTGGTTTATCCGGAATTACTCTAAAATGGTATCCTTGTTTTATTTGTACGGTTTTTTAATAAAAAATTATTTTATTATTACAAAAACGGTATTTTATCGGTATACAATGGTTGAACTACAATAATACCACAAAATACCATACCACAGACGAGTCCGGTATAACTTCCAATACGGTTTTCTGAAACATGCTATTTACTATTTAGGGGGTTTTCACCTTTCATCGAATAGCTGCTTGCTACTTACGCGGTTTTTCACCTTCTTCACCGACTGGTGAGCTGAGTTGCCATAGGAATTAGAAGCGTCGGCTGTCTCATCTAAAGAGACAAAATCACCTTTCATCACCATGGCCGATCGTCCTCCTCCTCCTGCTATAACCTCCTCGTTAATTCATCCACCGCAAACTCGCCTCGTCACTTCCGTTTCACGATTACGGTTTCCTTCTGCCGCGAAACACTGTGGAGTTGGAGAGATCCTCCACGCTACACAACACCCGCGACCACCGCGCCGTTCGTACAGCGGCGCACCACCGGCGGCGTTGGAGGCTATTTTCCCGGTAAATACCCACAGATATCGCATATCTGTAGGCCCATGATCCCCATGTGGAGCCCCATTCCCGTCTCTAAGATACAATTTAGAAATTTCCGTTGTTTTAGATTGGACAATGATTCGAATTTTGTAGGTATGCATTGGGGATTTTGAATATTTTGGGCGAAGGGGAATTGTGCATAACTGGTCGCTCACGGGAAATTTGTTGGATTGAATTTAGTAAGGATAATTTAATTCTATTCAGTGGAGAAGTGAGAAAAGGATAATTTAATTCTATTCAAGTGGGCACTTTATATTGATTGAAATTGGTAAACTTCTTCTTCTTCTTTCTTCTGTTCACATCTTGGCAGTGGGCACTACTTGTACTGCTTCACTGGGAACGCTGGAAAGGGTAAAACCGGCGGCAGCTGAGCCTCTCTAAGGAAGGAAGGTGAAAAGTGAGGGAGAACGAGAAGTAGAGGAGCTGCCATGCCAGGTTTACCCTTAGCAGAGTCCGGCTGCGGGCCGGACGACTTCCCGGCCAAGCTCACCTTGCAGGTTGTTCTTTGCACCATCATTGCCGCGTTTGGTGGATTCATGTTTGGTTACGACGTTGGTATTTCAGGTAGTCAATTAGCCTTTTACTTCAGACATTGGCTGGTGCATATTGCTGCTCGAAAGTTGAAATCTTTTGCGATTTGTTTTGGTGGTAGGTGGAGTTACAGCGATGGACAGTTTCTTGAAACCTTTCTTCCCACATGTTTACATCAAGAAGCACACGGCCAGATCGAACAACTACTGCAAGTACAATGACCATTATCTCCAGCTATTCACTTCATCGCTCTACCTGGCAGCAATTGTGGCCAGCTTCGTTGCGTCTCTTGTTTGCAAGAGACTGGGGAGAAGACCTGCTATGCAGATCGCCTCTGTCTTCTTCTTTACCGGAGCAGCTATCAATGCTGCGGCTTTGAACCTCCCCATGTTGATCATCGGACGGCTTTTGTTAGGAGCCGGAGTTGGGTTCGGAAATCAGGTGAAAAGTCTCCCTCTGTATACATTGTTGTTACCCCGTGAATGACCATTTCATATCAAAGGGAGAAAATAGAAGATGACCGAATATATTATGGTTTGTATCCATCCAGACGGTGCCATTGTTCATATCTGAAATCGCTCCAGCAAAGTACAGAGGAGGGCTCAACATCTGCTTTCAGTTGCTGATCACACTTGGAATCTTGAGTGCCAACATTGTAAATTTCATAACTTCAAAGGTGCATCCTTATGGTTGGAGAATTTCCTTAGGTGGAGCTGCCGTCCCAGCCGTAGTCCTCCTTATAGGCTCTTTCATGATTGTGGAGACACCCACGAGTCTTCTGGAGAGAGGGGAGACTGACAAGGCTCGATCCACTCTAAAGAAGATCAGGGGAGTTGATAATGTCGGAAAAGAATACGCTGAAATCCGAGAAGCAGTTGAACTCGCTAGTCAGGTTCAGCACCCCTTCAGAAGTCTCAGGAAAAGATACTACAGGCCGCAGCTCATTTGCGGGACAATCATTCAGGTCTTCCAGCAGCTAACAGGGATCAGCGTGATCACATTCTACTCCCCAGCTCTGTTTCAGACCATGGGTTTTGGGGAGCATGCGTCCCTTTTCTCAGCTGTCGTGATCAACACCATCAAACCCGTATGCACCATCGTCGCTATTTTGGTGGTGGATAGGTTTGGTAGACGGGCATTGCTTATTGAAGCTTCTGTCCAGCTGTTCATTGCTGAGGTAATAGAAAGAAAACATTCACATCGTAATCTTCATTTTGAGTTAGTGCACAACGAACTCATTTCATAAGAGCTGGCGCGGTTAATCTCTTTGTTTGGCAGTGTGCAATTGGAGCGATTCTGGCCACACACCTCGATGCAACGAGCATAATGGAGAGGGATTATGCGGTAGCGGTGATATGCCTCATATGCGTGTTCTTGTCTGGATTTGCTTGGTCATGGGGTCCATTGGGATGGCTGATTCCAAGTGAGATCTATCCATTGGAGACCAGGACTGCTGGGTTCTTCATGGCCGTGAGCATGAACATGCTGGTGACGTTCATGGTAGCTCAGACGTTCCTGACGATGCTGTGCCACATGAGGGCAGGGGCGTTCTTCTTCTTCGCCGGGTGCCTGTTTGTGATGGGGACGTTTGCAGTTGTGTTGCTCCCTGAGACCAAGGGAGTCCCCATCGATGAAATGATCGGCAGGGTTTGGAAGAAACACTGGTTCTGGAAGAGGTTTTACAATGATTACGAAGATCATAACGGGAAGTAGTATAAGATGCCCCCATAGAAGAAACCTGGTAAGCACTTCAACGTTCAGGAATCAGAATCTGGAAGAGGTTCTTAATTATGGGGTTGATAACACTTTGCAGCCCCTGGGAGAATCGGGATAGAGTTCTCCTAAGATTTCTTTTTCTTCTTTTCTTCTATGTGTGTGTGTGTGTGTGTTTCTACTGGAGCTTGAGGCTTGAAGTTAATCAAGCCATTACACATAAATTCTTATACAAGGTATCATGAATTTGTAGCTGTAATAGTAGTGGCAGGAAACCTGTTGGCTGCCGTATGGTCATCAATGATAAATTTACCTTTTTTTATGTAGAGACGGGAGGTGGGGTAACTCTTTTGACATTTATCTGTTGGACTGGTATAGTATAGAGATGGAGGTGGTTGGACGGACTCCTCCTAGTCACTTTCTCCATATCCTATTCTTTCTTCTCCACCAAATTATTCTTCAAGTTTCTCGCTTTTTCATCTCTTTGCCAAATCTAGGCCTCACGCAGCGGAACCCGCAACTCTCCTTGCCTTCCCCACTTTCGCCTGCCGATCGTCGAGGAAAACCATGAGCACCACTGGCGGCTGCCTCTACAAGGATCCAAATGCGCCCGTCGAAGCTCGGGTCAAGGACCTTCTTTCCCGGATGACTCTGGAAGAGAAGCTGGCTCAGATGATTCAACTCGACCGGGTCGTCGCCGATTCCTACTTCCTCCGGGACCTCGCCGTCGGTATGCTGCCTGATATTCTCCTCCCACTTCACAAACGAAATACCCCGTCAATGTAATTATTCGTCTTAGTCGCACAGGCTAGGTGTTGGGTTGAGACTTACGAACAGGGCTTTGTGCTTTTTGTTATAAATGTTCGGTTTCTTTGGGGCATTTCTTCATCCATCTGGTGGCAAATTTTATTTGCAGGGAGTGTGCTCAGCACTGGCGGGAGCGCGCCTTTTGAAAATGCGCTTGCATCTGATTGGGCCGACATGGTCGATGGTTTCCAGAAGCTGGCTCTAGAATCCCGGCTTGGGATATCAATTCTCTATGGGGCTGATGCTGTTCATGGGAACAATTGCGTTTATGGTGCCACGGTTTTCCCTCATAACGTTGGCCTTGGCGCCACCAGGTTAGCTAGCTTCTTTATGGGTCGCATGCAGCAAGTTTTGGTAGGACAGCTAGCGGAAGCAATAGAATTAGCATTACGATTCAGTAGCTGTGTTTCTACATTAGATGATTGGTAGAAGCTGAATGGAGAAGACTCAGTTCCATGCTATTTTCAATCTCACAGTGCTTCTTATGTGCTTTGCAGAGATGCAGATTTAGTGAAAAGAATAGGTGTTGCAACGGCACTTGAAGTCAGGGCAAGTGGTATTCAATATACATTTGCTCCCTGCGTAGCTGTGAGTTCGTTGTGGTATTAGCTCTTGTTCGTTTTCATTTGGTACTAGATCTTTTTCGGAGAGCTTATTCAGAAGCCCGCTGACAGGTATCCAGAGACCCACGATGGGGAAGATGCTACGAGAGTTACAGTGAAGACACCAATATAGTTAGAAAAATGACCTCCATTGTTGCTGGCCTCCAGGGACAGCCGCCTGAAGGCCACCCACATGGCTATCCTTTTATAGCAGGAAGGTTGGAACACCTATAGCTTCACTACTGTTGCAACTTCTGCCTTTTCATATATTTCGTTACTGAAAGAAGAAGATTATAGTTATTGTAGTGCTGAAATGCTGGTCAGGATGTGGCACTGAGCTATTGTTTCACCCACTGTAAATTTTGCAAATTTGAAATGTAACCAGGGTTCTTTTCCTACCTGACAGAAACAACATTGTTGCCTGTGCTAAGCATTTTGTTGGAGATGGGGGCACTCACAGAGGTCTAAATGAAGGCAACACAATGTTGTCATATGAAGATCTTGAGAGGATCCACATGGCTCCCTATTTGGATTGTATAGCCCAAGGTGTGGGCACTATTATGGCTTCCTATTCTAGCTGGAATGGAAGTAAACTGCATACTGACCGTTTCCTCCTGACTGAAGTCTTAAAAGATAAGTTGGGGTTTAAGGTAAAAAACCGGAAGTTATTAGTTCATTTGGACACAACCTTAAAGGATATGTTAGTTTGCGTCTTTTCGCTGGTCCATTGAATTACCTTGTATATCCTTTAGCTCCTCTTGAGCTTCAAAGAAGGAATATGACAAACCTATATGAAATTTTTTGTTAGGCAAGAGAAGTATGTAGAATCTGACATCTCTAGTTACAACTTTTGTTTCAGGGATTTGTGATCTCTGACTGGGAAGCATTGAACAGACTCAGCGAACCTCTTGGTTCCAACTACCGCCGATGTGTTGCTAGTGCCGTTAATGCTGGAATAGACATGGTACATATCTGAGCTTCCTTCTCAGTCTGCCTTAGCTTTACTAGATCGATTCTGTCTTCTGTTTTTTTCCCCAAATGTTACAAGATCAAAGCATTGGTTTTCTCACTATGAGCATACAGGTGATGGTTGGCCGGAAATATAACCAATTTGTGGAAGATATAATTTCTCTTGCGAAATCAGGGGAGATACCAACATCCAGGATTAATGATGCTGTTGAAAGAATACTGAGAGTGAAGTTTATTGCTGGCCTGTTCGAGTATCCCTTTGCTGACAGGTCCTTACTAGGCACAGTTGGCTGCAAGGTAAAGTTTGAGAATTTCTTGCTTTAGCATTGCTATTCCCTTCTGAAGCAGAAATGCTGCTCCAAAGCCGATTTTGCATCTAGCATGTTAGCTAGAGGTCACTGGTTCGGTAGTTGCCAATGTGTGTTCGGTTCAGCTTTCTAATGAAATGCTAAAATCAAGATGATAAATTTAGAAAAGAAATTACAAGATAATAATCTGATACCAGATCCGAGTTGATGGAATCATAATATAGCAGCATACTACATCGTAAACTTGAGATAATGACCCTAATGTCGTCATTGCTAGATTCGGTATCATCCTAATTTGTGCAAATGCATCTTTGGTCCCTTCTCAACGTATCGTAATGGCAGTTACCGCTCATCACTATTTGTATATCTTAGGGCAATTGTCTTGTGCATACAGCTTCACAGGAACTTGGCACAGGAAGCAGTCCGCAAATCATTGGTTCTGCTGAAAAATGGCAAGGAGTCCAACAAACCTTTTCTTCCATTGGACAAGAACGCTAAAAAGATTCTTGTTGCTGGGACTCATGCTGATAATCTTGGATATCAGTGCGGAGGATGGACGATAGCCTGGTACGGATTAGGTGGCAGGATTACCATTGGTATGCAAATTCTATCACCCAGAACCGCTAGAAAGAACATTTTCATTCATCTCAGCTAGTTGATCCCCTTATACTCAACTTCCTCCCAATATCGTGTCTCTAACTGGCGAAAACGTTTGACTTGAATGCTATTCCAGGGACGACCATATTGGATGCTGTTAGAAAAGCAGTTGGAGAGAAGACAGAAATTGTTTTCGAGGAATACCCATCACCAGAAACCTTATCGGGTCATGATTTCTCGTATGCCATTGTAGCGGTTGGTGAATCTCCATATGCAGAATTTACGGGAGACAATGCAGAGCTTGTAATCCCCATGGGAGGACGAGACATCTTAAGCTTGGTCTCTGACAGAGTGCCCACACTGGCAATTGTTGTATCTGGACGGCCGCTCGTCGTAGAACCACATATACTGGAGAAGACAGATGCCCTTGTTGCTGCCTGGTTGCCAGGAACTGAAGGGGATGGAATTACGGATGTAATCTTTGGAGACCATGATTTTAAGGGACAATTGCCAGTGACATGGTTCAAGGAGGTCAAGCAGTTGCCAATGAACCATGGGGAGAACAATGAGTATGATCCTCTTTTTCCCTTTGGGTTTGGACTGACATACGAATGAGAAGGAGGGAATTCCATCATGAAACTTGATTCGTGGTGGAAGGCCGGCTGCTGCTGCAGAAACACACCGCTTTCTACTGTTTGTACACTCACTGGAATGATAATAACTTGCTTTGATGGGTGAACCTCCCTAGCAGTTGTTAATGTCACTTTGTACTTCATTTGTTAAAATAATAAAATGTACCATTCTGTTGTCAGAATATCATGCAATTTCGACCGACAGCCGTCAAACCACATCGTCGGACAAGCGAATGAGGTAACCTCATCACAAAAAATATAAATTTTGCCCCATTCGCCCAAAGGTGTCGGACGCCGTCCACTCGCTGGCGTCAGACGATTATTTACGTCCGACGTCTGAAGCGGACAAGGTCCGACATATGCGGGCGGTCCCCGTCCGACAAAAGAAATCGGACCCCGACTGACGAATGCAGACGGACCCCGTCTGACTGGTTTAGACGGACGACGTCCGACCGGTTCAGGCGGACATGATACTATTATTTTTGGTACTTTGATTAATATATTTATGTTATTGCTTATTTTAAAGTTAATTAATGTTTATGTTTATTATTTTTATTTAGAGTTAAATTAATTGCACTTAGTGTTAGTTATGTTTATTTTAGAGTTAAATGATTATTAATTTTAGAGCTAATATTTAGATTTAATTTATTGCTTTTAGTTTTATTTTATATAGTTAATTTTGTATATAGTTTTAATGAAGTGATTGTGTTTTTTTAGAGCTAACTAGTTTATTGTGTTTAGTTTTATTTCGTAGAGCTAATTTCATTTAATAATTTATATTTAATTAAATTACTTATCGTTAAATTATTATTATTTTGTAGAGTTAATTAAATTATTGTATTTAGTTTTATTTTGTAGAGTTAATTGATTTAGTATTAATTGATTCATTATTTAGTTGTGTTAAATCATATAATTTGTCTCTAAACAGTTGTAAAATCATAATTGCAGGTAGACATGGCTTACAACATTGATCTAATAGATGATTACACATACTATTTCCTCAATGGCGTCCAATATGTTAATTTCGAAGATGCTGTAACAGTGACAAAAAAACATCGCGATGTCTCTTGGTTTCTTTCTAATTAAGGGCTCGATGAAGCCACGTGAGTTGCGTAACAAAAGAAAGCTAGGTATGTGTTATATGTATTGCGATTTGACTAAGGAGAGTCGTGGCAATACAAGTTCAAAAGGGAGTAATTGCATGTTCAGGGTTAAAATCAAAGAACTACTTTTTGATCCAAAGGCTCTTAATGAACCGACATTCTGGGAGATACAAGAAGTGATCGAAATGGAAATCGGTTTGAGGCGAGGGTATCACAATCATGAGAAGATACTTTATCCGGAGGGCCACAGTCAGATGAAGAAATTCAGTCAGGAGGATAAAGAATCTATCAAGCAGATGAGAGATGCTGTGATATCTCCGGCGAAAAAGAAACATCAATGAACATGCAAAAGGGTGACAAAGGGCATCACACCAAAATGCAAATTATAACCTCGGGTCCAAGTTTAGGAAAGATGACATGGGTGAGATGAATGCAGTCCAGTATGCGTTGCAAGCAGTTGAACGCGAGAATTATCATATAGAGGTTATGAAAGACGATAGCGACATGCTGACCCATCATTTTTTTGCCCATCCAACTTCCATCTAGATGTTGAAGGCTTGGTCGTACGTGATTATCATCGACTCAACGTATAAGACCAATACGTATAAAATGTCGTGGGTGAAGGTTGTAGGTGCTACTCCCGTTGGGGAGAATTTCAAATTATGTTGTGCTATCATGAAGGAGGAGACAAAAGAGGCGTATCATTGGTTGTTGGTGTGCATAAAACAATTGCTCCATCCACGCGTGCCCACTGCCATCATCGCCGACCATAAAGGTGGACTACTTGCTACATTTTATGGTGTCTTCCCTACACCCACATTTGCTATGTGTTTGGCACATCAGCACTAATGTGCAGGTGAAGTTTTTGGAAATATTTGGGAAGGACAAGATGGATTTGGTCAACGAGGCTTACAATGAAGGTTGGTGTCCTTTGCTTTATTCTTGGTCTGAGCAAGGTATGTTGGCCGCGTTTGGCCGCTTTAGGGCGAGATGTAGCAATGACAATCCACATCTGTTGGAATACATACAACGAGTGTGGTGGCTGCATTGAGAGAAGTAGACAGTTTGTCATACCAAACAAGTGTTTCATTTAGGAAATACGAGCACAAACAGGGTTGAGTAATCACATTCATCATCGAAAACTTTCCTTCATAACTCGCGGGGGTCTATAGACACTGTATGGAAAGGAAGCCACCGCTACATTACTAACCAACTCGGGGAGGTTCAGCAGCACATGGTACACCTTTCACATACTTGAGGAGACCGCACACAGGTAATTATACTGAAGAATGAGGTTGAAGAAAATTTGGCGGTCCATTTGAAAAAAATGAGAACTCACGATGTGCATGTCATTTCTCTGTGACGCACGGCTTGAAGTGTGGATGTTAGGTTATGGATGGCAGAGCGCGAGACATAGAGATATACCCGGGTGATGTTCATCTATTTTGGCAGACATTGGCATACCAGCACCCACCCAATGCCTAGGAGTACGTGCCCCACGAGGATGAAGATAAATGTCACCTTCAGGAGTTGGTTGATGAAACTGTACGCAGAGGGCCAGAGGCAACACAAAAAAGCAGAAAGAACCTGTTTCGCGGACTCCACCCCAGCGAAAGACAACATTCACGAGCTAGAAGTGAACGAAACTAGGAGGGGACGACCAGACAAAAAATAAACTGGAAGAAATAGAAGTTGGTATGAGAAGATATTGTATGGTAAGAAGAAAAACATGAAAAACAAGTCGCAGAGCACAATGTCGGGGTCTTCAAGGTCGACGAAGACTAAGTCCACGGGAACTCAGACACGAGTACCTGTCAGACGACCAGACATTTGATGATCATGATGATCCCAATGACAACAACAAATACAACGGTCTTGATACATGTACACATAAGCAAACCATAAGTGTTGTTATTTATCTGATATTATGTAGAATGTGTGCTGATGCAGCAACCAATTTGAATACGTACACTTGCATCTGCTTCCTGTCTTCGTTCGGGACCTTGTCATTGTCGTCCACGACGGTCATTTTGGGTTTCGTGCTCTTAGTTTTGCATTATATGATAATCAAGATGGGTTCCCAGAGGTGAGGCGACTTATCACTGAAGAAATTCGTCAGCATGATTGGCGATACGCTAACATGTATGGCGCGGATGTGGTTGCAGCAATCACTCGCATCGACATCGACATCGATACTACCAAGGCAACGACCATACATCACTAGATTATGGGTGTGGATCTATTCGTATTTGCCACGATCTTTAACTTGGTTGTTGTCATGTACAACAATATCCCCCACCCCACGCCAACTACGTACAATTATACCATCCTGCCAGTGGACAACCTATTTGGGGCAACCAGTCCTAGAGGAGTCATTGTTGTGCATTTCGTCGAGGATAATTGGCTCAACCTCTCTTTACCGACTATCAGGATATCGCTGCCCTCCTGTACACTACACGTGGGAGGGTGGTAGGCAAGATAGCGTCATTGAAAAGGATAAATATTTCCAGGCGTTTAGTCAATTGTGGCTAGTTCTTGGGGGTGGCAAGTCAAGCGGTCCATGGCACAAATCCAAGAGGGTCCCAAAAAAAAACTTGTAATAAAAAAAGAGCCCGATGTACCATGATTAAATAATAAAAATATCCAATTATCTCAGGTTGCTTACGTCACAAGGAAACATTTACTACATGATATAATAAAAGCATCCAAAGTACAACAGAAACACATAATTCATAGTACGGTACATGGAATAATAAAAGCCGTAGGAGAACAATAGAATAACATAAGTCATAGTCGAATGACTGAAAACAACAAACGCCACTCATAAATAGTCACATAACAAACATCAAATTACTATGGAGGTGGTATAAAACCCAACCTGCCCTGGTACTCGGATCACTTGTTCCAACTCCATGACATAAGTCATAGTACTCGTCAGACCTAGCATGCCACTCCTCCCTGCTACCCATAGCACCATCCATCACGAGAGATATCTCCATCCACATCTCGCGTCCCAATTGTAAGAAAAGACAATTTATATATACATATTAGTTACAATCAAACATAATTTTACTTAAATACAAAAAATTTCAAATATGATTATACTCATCGCATCAGCATCCGCGAACTCGCGATGAGGTCAGCTATCACTCAATATCTGTCAGTGCGAGTGCCTAAGGTACCACCCCAAGTAATCGTCAGTAACCTCTCATGGCCTACGTCGTACCGGGTTACAAAAAAGTCCAGATGCACACTATGTCCCCCAGGTTGTTCCACCACGAAGCATAATTAAAGTGGTAGCTAACAGAGTATCCAATCATGGAAGCAGGTCGACTCACAACAAGCGGACACTCCGGCTGATACGGTGCCCTCTGCACGTAGCCTAACTATCGGAGGCATCTAGTGGGATCAAATGGCTCTACTATCTCTGTAAATGTGATCATGCCCAGATACAAGGTACGCCTCACGCTTAGATGAGGCGCCGGACCATAAGGAGTCCAAACAACCTGTTGTGGGGTCAAACTATCAATCGCTTGACGATAATAAGCCAACATGAGTGTATCCTTCTTCTTTGTTGACTGAGGTGAGATACCGCGCCACCTGAGTGCCCCTGCCTCCCCATACTCCAACTGTCGTGGCTCCAACCGACTAGGCCTCAAGGTAGGAAAGTGGTCGTAAATCCAACACTATAGTAAAGTCAGGCAACTCGCCACTCTCTTAGCCTCCGCCCGCGAGGCAATACCAAGATGCATGTACAGATAAGCAAGTGCTCCAGCCCCCCACACGTACTCTCCCAGCATCTCCGGCCTCTTCACAAACAATTTGATAACAGAAGAAACGATGTCCTTACTGTTATCTACGAACAGTGTAGACCCCAGTAGTAGAAGAAGGTAACACTAAGCCTCTCTAGCTGGCGGGCCAACCTCCTACAAATGAGCCAAAGCTGCCACACCTAACAAACCATGCCCTCTCTACCACATAGAATCCCTAGCAACCTCTCCCACCTGGGCCCCCTGGCCCAAATCCACATGATCCACGCCCAATAGTGCTCCTATGCTCTAGTGACATCTTCTCCAACTGCCTCAGATTCTCTACTATTGCCTTTACCTCAACCGAAATGTCAAGGATGTGCACCACGTCGTGAAGGAGGATCGTAATCTCTCCAAACGGCATGTGGAAGGTATTGGTATCCGGCTGGCACCTCTACATAAATGCCGATATGAGAGCAGTGTCCAACTCGCTCTGAAAGGTGATATCTGCGAGGTGAGCAAGACCCGATGTCTCTACGGTACCTTTAGCGCGAGAATTTGAGATCACGTAATGCTGTAGAACATGCTGAAGTGTTGAACTCTTATCGTAGCAAGTGATCACCCCTCTATCAGCCTGTCCCGTGTAAAGACGGTGGGCAACATGCCCAAGAAAGCTACGAAGTAAACTCTGGTCACTCGGCCCTCCAGCACAAGGTCCTCGAAGCTCCCACCCCTCTCCCACATTAGCATCACCCCTCTGACCCTCACCGGGCTGTGGAGCTATGTAGAAATGCCCCGCATGGTCTCTATAAATCCCAGTAACGATGTGTGACGATCCGCTGGCGGCACCTCTATCTTTGATCGAACTGCCTCGTGGAATGCGATCCTCAATAGCATCCGACTCATACTGCTCAGACTCGTCGTCAATCTCGTCTGAAGGCTCCAACGGTGAAGTATGCTGATCTCTCGTCCCAAAGCAGTGACTCGAACGACCTCCACTACCAACCATACTAGGCAACTGAAAAATCAAACTGAGGAAAGTCATATGCCCTCAATCTCATCGGTGGCTCTAGCTGAAGTGGCTCATTCTCAGACTTTAACAGCTCGCCCGACCTATCTCGGGATTTTTCCAGAAATAGCACTATTAAAAAAAAATTCCAAAAATAGCACCGAACCACTAAAAATTCCAAAAATAGCACCATTTCCCAAAAACGCCACCAGAACCAGCAGTTTAGGCGAAAACCGCCACCCGGGGGCGTGTTTTTCGATTCAAACCGCACTGGTAGGGTGCGGTTTTGCAAACCACATGGGGCCAGGGCTGGTTGGTTGCAAACCGCACCCCCACCATGCGGTTTGTAATATATATTTTTCTTCTTCAAAATGAAAGTTAGAAGTGGTCTTAGCATAACTGGTTTAGTTGTTTATTGAGTGCAAGAAGTCCTGGGTTCAAATCCCCACCATCCCATTTTTTATTTTTTAGAGATTAAAAAAAGCAACATATTGTGGGAGTGGTGGATCGAACCCAGATAATAAATAGTTTACTAAATTTAGCACAACATCTACACCACTTGATAGGGCAAAAGCGTATGCCTTAATCCTATCTTGTAGTAAACCGGACAGTCCGGGTATCGTCTTTCAGGGACTGGTACAACCTTAAGTTCTATCAATTTTGTATAGCAAACTATAGGTGAAAATGGTTGAATGAGATTACTAACTACAAGCAAACTAATTAAACTAATTAAGGAAAGTAAACTAGTCGGGAGAAATTCAATGGGAGAAAGCTCTGGGAGAAACACCGAGACTCACTACCTATCATATCCAAATTAATTCACATATTCCAATCAGTTTAATCCAACTCTCTACAGCCAGGATATCACGAATGTGCTAGCTATCCCTGTCGGGAATTACTACGTACTAAACAATTAAATCAAATCCTACTATCGTAGCTCAATGACTTAATTATTTAGCCTGAAGATCGATATCCTATTTAAGACCGCATATCACCTTATTTAATCCACTGTCGCTTCAATAAGTTACTATGTCACATGAAACAGGTTCAGTTATTAGGGTTTCACTGTCGCTAATAACCTAATTAACTACAAATCGTTGTATTGGTGGCCAGTCAACACAAAGCATTAAGTAATTTCATGCAATAGAGATTGGAAGAAAAGAAATACGAATCAATCCATCAAGTTTAGAAATAGTTAAATCCTATGGTGTTTTCCCCAGAAATCGGGGTTTAGTTCATGATAAACTAAAACACACAATCATGTTCATAATCATCATATCACGAATCAAAGCAAAAAGAAAAGAATACTGTATTATCGGATATTGTTCGATTCAATTCCCTTCTCGATCCGCTGCTCCTCTCGAGTGGCTATGATTGCGATCGCCCGGTTGCTCCGCGCTGCAGCTCTCGTCCAAACTCCCTGCTCGCTGCGCTCAAGTCCTTTCTTTTCCCCCAAAGAATTCCGTGCGCCGCCAGCTGCTCTTTTTCCCCCCAAGATTCCGTGTCCAATTCCAATTATTCCCCAAAGAAGATTTCCGTGTCCCAAGGAATTCCCTTTTCCTTTCAATTTCGTTTTTTTCCCCAAAAGCTTCCGTCCCCGGAGAATTTCCTTCCCCATTCCTCTCTACAGCAATTTCCCTTCTTCCTGGACAACTCATCCGGGCTTAAGAATTCCCTCCAGCCATTAAAAATCCAGGCCCACTCTTCTCTCGTCCTCTCTTCCTTCACCAAAAGCCAATCCCGCTGGGCCTTGAGCCTAATGCCATGTCCCAATTAATTCCTTCCACCAAAACAATCCAACATCTCCTAGCCCAAGTGAGTATTCCACTAGTGACTCGAGCCCGATTTATTGCTTGTGCACTCGCTTCTTTTTCGTGCTTTCTCTACCTGTAACATATCAAACTCATGACACTAGGCAGTAATGGTTTTTCAACCATTCTCGGGTTAGGAAGCCCTAAAATAGCACCAATCGGCTTAAACATACCAAGGGATAATCACATACAGTTCAAGAATCAGATATGTTAAAACCGATTATCACCACTCAACTACAACTCTCCTCTTCAAACAATAATATATTGACAAAGTATTACTCCTTGAAAGCTAAAAATCCTCGATAACTTTAAACAACCATAACTTTGTGCTCCAAAATCCGAACGTCATGAATTTTCTTTTTCATTTCGCATAAATTTTTAAGGACTACAATTTTTACTACGAATGAATTTTCGAAACAAGAATTATTTTTGGATATACAGGATTTTGGGAATAGCTTACCTTCCCTTTTCAGCAATCCACGTACATTTCGAAATTATGTCTATGATAAAATTTGTATTCCTTAAAAAGTTATGCGGAAAAAAAAAATTCATGTCGTTTGGATTTTGGAGCACAAATTTATGGTTGTCCTAAGTTTGACGAATCGGGAAAAAGCTCATTCAGGGTAGAAAAAAACATTTTTTCAGGACGAAGGCGGGACCAAACATCCTTCGGCAGTCTTCGACTAGCAAGATCTCAAAAAGTTATGCGGAATAAAAAATAAAATCGCGACGATCGGATACCCGAACACAAAGATACGTTCGTTTGAAGTTTACACCTAGGTTAGGATTTTTCAAAAAAAAAAAAAAGAGACCAAAACCGCATGGGGTGCGTTTTGCAACCAAACCGCCACGGCCCCATGCCGTTTCCAAAACCGCCCCCTACCAGTGCGGTTTTCATCGAAAAGCCCGCCCCGGATGGCGGTTTTCGCCTAAACCGCTGGTTCGGGTGGCGGTTTTTGGGAAAGGGTGCTATTTTTGGAATTTTTCGGGGTTGGGTGCTATTTTTGGATTTATTTTTAAACAGTGTTATTTCTGGAAACATCTCACCTATCTCTACTCTTTAAGATCTTATTTTTCTTACTAATACTAATGTTACGCCCATCGAATCTAGTAATCTACTCAATTTCTTTCCTCTTCCTCTAGCATCACCAGCTGACGCCATCTCTAAACATAGTTAATAATTATATATTAATCTTTTATAATAAATTAATTTTTGAGCAATCTGTTCACAAGTTTTTTTTATCATAAACTAATTATGATACATACAACTTATTAACTAATTAATTTAGTTAGATAGTTGTTTCACTAAATATGATAGATAATTATCTTACGAAATACGATATATAGTTTTTGCTACATTAATTAAATACACAATTATTTAGACCTTATGTAATTTAATATGATAAATAGTTATTTAACTAACATTAAATACTAATTATTCAACTAACTAATTTACCAAATTGAACATTTGCAAATTTAAATAGAAAATTTGTCCATAATTGAAAAATCCAACATTTGTACAATTAAATACTCATTATTTAACTAACATTTATATAATAACAATTGAATTTCTGTAATTTGTTCACAATATTATATCTTTTTAACTATTGGAAAATGAACATTTATAAAATTATATAAATAAAAAATTACAAATACTATTTAACATCACTATTTTACATTTACGATATAGTAACTAACAATTAAATACTAACTATTATACTAAAAATCCTCTCTACAGCAATTTCCCTTCTTCCTGGATAACTCATCCGGGCCCAAGAATTCCCTCCAGCCATTAAAAATCCAGGCCCACTCTTCTCTCGTCCTCTCTTCCTTCACCAAAAGCCAATCCCGCTGGGCCTTGAGCCCAATTCCATGTCCCAATTAATTCCTCCCACCAAAACAATCCAACATCTCCTAGCCTAAGTGAGTATTCCACCAGTGACTCGAGCCCAATTTATTGCTTGTGCACTCGCTTCTTTTTCGTGCTTTCTCTACCTGTAACATATCAAACTCATGGCACTAGGCAGTAATGGTTTTTCAACCATTCTCGGGTTAGGAAGCCCTAAAATAGCACCAATCGGCTTAAACATACCAAGGGATAATCACATACAGTTCAAGAATCAGATATGTTAAAGCCGATTATCACAACCCCACACTCAATTGTTGCTTGTCCCTAAGCAACGACTCAAACAACACAAACACATAACCATCCACAATAATGACACACCACA